TCAGTGAGAGGCGTCTCAATAAATCACACTTGTTCATTTTCACACAACTAGACAAACTTACACCACACTTTTTAACAGAGTTTGTTTTTCGTCCTGGACGCAAAGACGATCAGTGCAAAGGGAGAGGCGAGGATAACCGGTTCTCTAAGCTCCCGTCGCGTCTACCAGTGTACACTGTGCCAAACCTTGCACATGGATGGCCTAGAAACAAAGGACCGAAGCGAAGCTATAAATTTTTCCTTTTCAATGGCCACTTTGGTTGGCGAGTGCCCGGGTATAAAGATCTCTATCGTTCAAAACATCTGTGGTGTGAAAAATGGAAATCGCGCGGCTGTGGGGTGCTGCAGTAGGTGAGAAAATGGTGTTCCGTTTTCTCACCAACTACGACATTTAGTTTCATTTACAAGACGCAAGTAAGACGTTCACCATATGAGCTATTTTATTTTTTAAAAGAAATAAAAATGTACGTGCCTGTGGTTGGGGGCAAGCAAAAGAAGTGTAGTAGTCTTAGCGGCAGACGTCTTTGTCGAAGGAATAAAATAACCTAGTGATGGTCTTCCCTCCCCTTCGCGGTACGTGGAGATATATTGGCCGTTTCGGAGGGTTGGCACCACCAGTGCTCGGGGCTCGCGGATGCGTGGAAAAGGGCGTGCAGGGAAATCCGAGGGGTTAAGGCTCTCACAGGAAACCCTCCTCTCCTATCCGTGACCATATTAAAATATCACCGCCACGCCCGTCGAGGCAGCGGCCCCAGAACGGCCTGCGGCGCGTGGGGTGGGGTAGACCTCACGAAAAGAATATCATGCGAACCTCTATGGTCCTCTCAGCCCCACCGCCACCTGCATACCCCTTCTACTTATCCTTAGATGGTGATGCGATCCGACGCTCCGTGTCACCTGCATGATCACAATGCGCAATCACCTACTGCTGCTGATAAACCTGACGCCCCCGCCCACCCCACCCGTCCAAACAGCGACCTACCTTTTCGCGGGACAAAGCACGCTGGGCTGGGTGGTGGCCAGGCAGGTCCTGCCATTGTTAGGAATAAATTCGCCTATCACGCGCCAATTGGGCCATGACAGTTTCCTTTGTGCTGCCCTGCTCCTATGCTGCTGCTGCTGCTCGTTGGCGCTTTGGACGTCTTCATGTGTTTGCTTTTGTTCGAGGCTTTTGCGTGAGCAAACACGCAGGCTGGCTGATTGATCAGTGCCACGTCTATGGGTGACCGTTACCGTTACGTTATTCTATTCGCGCTGTGGGCTTCGGTGGCGATGACTTAGGCCTGCTGATGGGTGTTCTGTCTAATCACTACGTGACGCGACCGTCGCTTCGCATGCAGGTTCTGATTCCATTTCCACACCTGAGCCGTGCCTTATTTGCTCGCGCGCTCATTGGGATGCGCGGCCTGAACTGCATGTGTTATGACAGGCGCCTGGCTGCATCCCAATCGCATATCAGTGTTACCAGCGGTCAGTGAGCCTGCCAGGATGGGCCTGCATCAGCGCCTATTCGGGTGCTGCTGTGCGTTGCATACAAAGGCCATGCTCAATGTGCCTGGGGCAGTGCCCCTCCCCTCTCTTCTCATATGCTTCAATACAGCGGCGTACTTTTCTTGAAAAAAAAAATGATAAAAAAAAGCTGTTAAGTCGAGTGTCGCAGCTTTGCAGTGTAGGTGTCGATTAGGTCGAGTTTTCTTTGGTCCAAAGGTAGGGGTGGGGAACGGTGGGGAAGCACCAAAAGAGATGGATGTATAATGGGGGTTAAGACGGAGGGGGTTGGAGGGGGCTGAGGTGAGGTCTCGAGACCACAGCATCATCATACTCGTGTTTGTGTGTCAACACAAGGAGGGCATGTATACCTGTGGGTCGGCCGGGCCAGGTAGGCTGAGAGAAACGTTCAAGTACACGCCCAGAAACTCTGTCTGAACTGTATTTTTGTAAGATCATGGTTAAAATTGCAAGCCTCAACATGAAAAGTTGCCAGTTCTTAGGTAACAGTAACAGAGTAATAACAGTCGTCAAACTAATCTAAACTTATCACAATTACTTATATATTGTTTGCCAACTTAGCCATTTCATTTTTATTGTGTATATTTCTTTCATTTTTGTGACAAATCCCCGACTGAGCATGACAGGATGGACTTGAAAAGAAGTTTGTTGAAAACTTCGATTAGGCCTTTACAACCTAAGATTTTAATGTACGGTACTGCACCCGCGACACTTCGGCCTGGCGACACAAAGGAAGCCAACAAACCAAACCACTGCACCAGGGGAGAACACAAAACCTCCTCCTTCCCTACCTCTACCCTCATCCTTATTGTGCAACACAAACCCCCGGGCATTCGACTCACCTGTATCGTATTTCAGCTCCATGTGTGCACACGGTCGAGCTCAAACACATGTTATACGACTTTAGGAGGATACCTGTATTCTTCTTGGCCGAAGGTGCCAAATGATGCAGGGATCTTTATTGGCCCCAGGCCTGGCTTTTTGTGCGTCCAAATCCCAGTTTGTTAATACGGCTTAGCAGGGCATTGTTGGTTATTCTTATCATCGCCCTCACGAAAACCCTTTATGTACTGACTGCGTTGTTTGTTACCATTAGGCTCGACTGGCTATGTGCAACTTGATGGCTGGTCACATCAGTGTAGCCTGACATAAAAAGACTAACCGTACAGCTGTTAAAACTTGCCTCCTGCCATATCGCATTTGCACCGCAAAAGAGACTGGCGTTACAAAACTAATCACACAGCGCGGTATTTTTTAAAACAAAAAGTTTCAGAAACAACAGCAGAGCATTCTAATGGTTCCAGTTCCATTGCAAATTATCGCCCGCTATTACACACATTGCAACGCTATCTCATGAAATTCTGTTTCATTTTTTTTTACCCCATCATGAGTGTGATTCTTCGGGAGAATAATTCTGCGTGAGCCAGTCTCCCTCCCCGTCTGTCCCTACTCCCCTGATTCATAATGAATTTATGGTTTGTGCAACGCTGTAGCCGTAAGTCACAAGCTCTTGCCAATTTCATTTCAACATACGAGAAAGGTCTTAAGTAAAGCACCGCTTGTGTATTTACAAATTCTGATATCGCGAAACCCTCAAATAGCAAACAGCACGGACTATGGCTCTACGAAGCCATCAATTCACTGAATAAAACTTCAGTACGAGTGTGCAGCTGGCGTGTGCAAACGTGCACGTTGAAAACGTTTGAGTGTTTGACTGTGAATTTGAATACTGAAGTGTTAAAAAGAAAAGTTGAACACATTCAGAAGTATTAAAAATAACTGTGGATCACTCTTAAGTATTGAAATGTTTGGTCCAGCATACATGTGCGTGCCAGCTGCTTACTATTGTTTTAAATGTTTAATGCACCTGTGCTGCAAAACCGCAATCGACCGCGCAATAAATATTCCCGTGCTGACAATTTATTTAAAATTTCGCTGCGTTCTGTCCGTTGCTATCACGATAGAAACAGCTTGTGTGAGACATGGAAAAGAAAAGAAACTTTATTGAGTAAATCTCGTGTTTCATTCCAGTGCTCTCCTCACACAGAACTCAGCGACGCGAACGTGATCCTGTTCCCTGTTTCTGAAAAAATAATGTGAGGTACCACTACCGGTACTACTTGCCTGTGATATGAAACAGCTGAAATAAAAGTTCGTTCCCAATCAGCAGCTAAGTATTGCCCTTAAACTGTATTGTAATCAACTAGCCAGCCACACACTGGAGGGCCCGCTCTGTGCTATACTGTAGAGAGTGAGGAGGGGGAGGGGACTTTGCCCTCTGGTAGAGACAGTCTTTAGGAGACTGTCTAAAAATGAATAGATTTGGATCTGCTTGCAATCCCATATTTTTTTTAAATATATCTGGGCAATAGATTTCCAGACGATCTGTATTAGCTATGCACCTCATGCACAGGCCTTGAGAGTGTGATGAATGAGATAAATCAATCGCAACCGCCGCGTCCCTCCTCTCGCATAAATCTCGCCATCGGTGCGAAAGTCAATTTGAAGACGGACGGCCCTTTCATCACCCCCTTCCCCATTTTCCCCTTTTCGGGTCCACCTCCCCTTTCCCAGCCTACCCCCCCCCCTTTTGTCCACCCTCCGCGTCCTTTTTTCGCTTCCTTCTCTACTGCTTCGAAGGGCTGCAAGAAACCATGCTAAAGCGCTTACATCGCTGACACTGCCTGCCTTACTCCCCTAGTTGACATATTCCCTAATGGATTTCAATCGCCGTGAATTCAAATCCTTGGGTCAGATCACCAAATAATTTCGAGATAGGTACTACAGATTGGTCTGGTCCCATTTTAGGAAAGGCTGGACCCCAACGAGATTCTAACAAATCTATTTATTGTATTATTTACCTAATTTGCGAGTAGCCACGAGCACTGTTCGCACTTCTGACCAGCCTTCGCTTTTCGGGGGCAACTGAAATAGTTTAAATAAGAAAGTACGATTTTTGTTCGTGGATTCGTGAACTTTTGGACATCCGTCTATGCACAAATGGATTTTTTTTTTACATTTTGAGTAAGAGTTCTATCATAACTGAAGCGAGACGAAACGCCGACCTTTTTTGTACCCTGGGAGTGATGCAATAACGCGTTTAAATGTCCGCACATAATGTATGCACGCAACCCGACACCCGGGGCACGACCCGGAGGAGGATATTGCGTATGTGGGCCATTCTCACAGGGGTGGGTTTTAAAGAAGCGGTTTTAAATGCACTTGTTGGACGGTGGTGTGTGTGGGGGGGGGGGGGGGGGGGGGGGGGGGAGCAAGAGAAAGGGAAGAGAGACCGCGAGAAAGCAATAGAGGGGGAGCAGTGGCCGTGGGGGTGGATGTGTCAGTCCGGAGATTTCGTCATCTGTCTCTCTGAATGGAATCACCCGTGTGAATGGACCAGGAGTGATGAAGAATCAGGGGTGATGTAGAACCGTGCGTGACGTTAGAATACGAATTGCGACACTGACTGATTCTTTGGTTCTTCTTTTGCAGATCGTTGGCGAACGACAGTGCATGTGACCGGGCCGCGGAGACGCGTCGCAGCGTGGTGAGTCGTGGGGGCGAATATTTCACTGTGGGGACGTTCCGGGGCGGGACCGACACGTCCACAGTAAATTCGTCCACAGAATTTTTGCGACGTGAAAACACGTCCACAAGTTCACATCCAATGGTTTGGACGTAAATTAACCGATGCGTTCGTTACGTCCACAGTGTGGATGTACTTGCGAGCCGTGTGATGCTGGTGAAATTAGCTCCACAAAATCTGTTGCCATTTGTCTCCTTTCATTTACATCCACACGGATGACGTTCTGCCCTCACTCTGAAAATCCACCAGTACGACAGTTGTTGCTAGAGCGGGACAAAGGTCCTACACACCCAAGTGTAGGTCAAGCTTGTGATACTCTGAAAACTCTAGAAATACGCTCTCTGTGTAGGCCATTCCCACCCTTGATCGAGTCGTCAGATTTTCATAGAGTTAGTGCGGGCGCGGGTTACGTTGCTGGTTTGGGCTTACTGCATTGCCGATCATGTCCCCGCTGTACGCAGTCGCGGCCGAGACAATGGTGATTTTCATTCACTGATAAACCAAAACTCTACAACTCTTGAACACTTGCAAGAGCACAGGCAGAACAACTCTGTTGCACACTTACAAGTGTTAGTTGATCACTTAGTTTATCAGTGTAGAGGGGAAACAGGCATACGGGCATGCGTTTATTATTCGGTTCGTTTGATCATTTCTGAGGATGTGAATCACAGCGGCGACAATTAGCGTCATATTTTGTGGAGGTATTTTCACCAACCTCAAACGTACCGTAAGTACATCCACGCTGTGGACGTAATAATCGCAGACGTTAATTTACGTCCAAATAATTGGACGTATTTTTGCAAAGTGCTTCATTTACGTCCAAACTGTTGTGGACGTATTTACCGTGGACATGTCGGGTTGCCCCCGACGTTCCATCTAGCCACCGATGTCGCCGCGGCGACTCGTTTGGCAGGTCCCGATCCCCACTCGGTCGCATTGTTCGCAAAACTGCACGCTCCGGCTGCGGTTATCCGAAGGGAAGGGAGACAAGGCGAGGGCTTAGGGCCGAGCTGTCTTCCAAACTCGGGAGGGAAGGGGAAGTCTAAACCACTGGGCACGCTTGCGCAGGGCCTCGGGGTCGACCTCGGGCGGGGCCTCTGTGGTGTCCAGGGTGTCTCTGGTCGGCTTGGCCGTGGCCGAGGCCCGCCAGGGGCTGTGCGGGCTGCGCAGGCCTGCGCTAGAGCCCGGGCTTGGCCTTGTCAGGAGGAAGGAGGCCTGGCGCGCTCAACTTAGTTTGCACCCGGTCTGGCTGGGCTGGGGAGGCCTCTGGGGGCTCCTGCGCTCTGGTCTGCGAGCTACTTTGCGGGCAGCCGGAAGCCGAAGTTGTATGGGCGGAGTGCGCGGGGCGGTTGGGGCGCAGAGCAGGTATAATGAGCCACCCCTTTTGGGAATTGATTCAATTACGAAGTAGTGTTGTGAGGAAATGAAAGGCGCGCTCCCTTCGCCAACGGCTGTGGCAGATGTCGGAGATTTGGCTCGCAGGCCTGCGCTCAGGCCGCTGCCGCTCTTGCTAGTCCTCGTGGGGCTTCGTCTGCTGCGGTCGGCCCCGCCTGCTCCTGCCCCGGCGGCCGCCTCGACAGCCTGAGCCAGTTAGAGAGGCATCGGACGCAAATGCAATCGCTCAGGCGGCCGGGCCGTCTGTCGCGGCGCAAAGGGGGTGGCTCAGCCCTTTTGTGTAGGCGGGGAGCGGGGACACCTGAGCCCGCCGGAGCCCGCGCATTGCGATGCACTCGACGTGATGGCCCTGTTGTCGCCCAGTCCCTGGAGGCCCCCTCTACGAGGCCCCGCACGCCGCCCGCGAGCCAAGGCCGAGGCCCGCCGGAGGACTCCAGCCCGCACGCGGCCGCGGCCGTGGCCGCCACCCCTAGAACCGGACTGAACCGGACGGCCGCCGGCCGCAACAGCGCGCACGTTCATTTCGCCATCTGTATTAACTTTGCCCCCGCGGCCCTCTTCTGTGTTTCCCCACGCGGCTCAGCGCTGCCGCTCTGCTTGAAGGAAGGGGTTGTGGCGCGGGACGTTAAAAGTTTGGCTCGTTACGCAACGCCGCAGCCTTTACCTTTTGCTCCACGTGCCAAGGACGCCGTCATGTTGGTTGTTCAGCTACAGCAGCGCGCTATGCGCTCCCCTCTCGTACTGCGGGGCGCCGGTCGCGGAGCAGAATGTAAATTGATGTTTTATTGAAAAGCATAAGAAAGCTTGCGGTCACCGCGGCATTTGTCTCGGCTCGATATTCAGATTTTCCCGAACTGTTTGCCTATCGGTTGTACCCCCGCGCCAACCTTCCATTATGCATGACCACTTTCTGTCCATTTCCTCGTGGCGCTCGCTCGCTCTTCGGCGGCCCGTTGCGGCCGACTTGTGCCAAATCAATATCATCTCAAGAGTTTGCGGCGGCGGCGGCGGACCAGAACAGCGCCAAGGCGCGGCGGCCGGGGCGGCGCCCTGGGAAGCAAGGGGTCGCCCTAGCTCTCCTGAAATAGAGGCAGCGGCCTATTGTATTTGTCTGATTGGAGATACGAGCGGCACGGGACAGTGACACGCCACGTGAGTGCTCGCGGCTGGCGGGGCCCCAGGGGTCATGGGTGTTCTTGGGCTCACAAGGGAACCCCGCCAAGTGTAAATTCCCGATTTTCATACTATTGTATACTATAGCAGCTTTTGGAACGAATGCCCAAGATGACCCTGAAATATGAATTTGCGAGCAAACATTTTTGACGTGTCTTTCGATGACACATCAATACAATTTCCCAAAGAAGAATGAAAATTTTGAATTTACACTTGCCGGTGTTCCCTTGTCAGCACCACCACATCACCGACATCACTTCACGTGGCCAATGCACAAGAAAGTAAAATAACAAACAAAGGAGTAGAAGACGAATTGCACGTAGTCGCGCTGGATCATGCGTGCAGACGGCGTCCGTCACGTTTGGTACAGTGTGGTAGTGTGCATGGGGATTGGCTGCATGCGGAGGGCGCAAGCACGTTTTCAAATAGACGACCGTCATAAGTCGCGCACAGAGAGAG